GTGTCTCCTTGCTGTCAGCTCTTCCACCCTCCCACCCAACAGTAATTAAAAGATCTCTGGGCCCCTCCACCATGGAGCCATAGGGCTTCTCAAGGTCCAAAGAGAAGTTCTAGATGCGTACCCCCCAACATGACAAGAGAAAAGAGCTCTCCTAGGCAGGCCGGGGCTCCAGGGAAAAAGATCGGAGCACACACAGTTGAGATGCAATTGTCTGGTTCAGCTGATCAACCTTGTTATGAGTGAGAGGACTTTGCTTCTGCTTAACTCTGGCACCCATTCCAGAGGTGCCTACACTCCTCTCTCAAATGAAGACCAGCACTGCTAGGGCTTCTAGAGTTCCCCATTTTCAACCAGAACAGAAACAGAGGCCTTGCAATAACTCCACTGGTCCAATTTCCCCTGGATGTGCACAATTCTGCCTTCTAGCCTGGGCTTTCCACCTTTCGTCTTTGTGATGACACAACCATCCTGTGCTCAGATGGAAGGCAGGGAGCAGCCAGAGGGACAAGACAGCAAAACCAGGGCTGAGGTTTTACCTTGTGGCATATGTTTAGAGGGGAGATGGAGCAATGGGGACCTGTGAGCAAAAGCCTGGAGTAGAAGGGTCTTGGGCTGGCAATGACAGAGGCTAGGAAACTGATCGGGTTGAGAGTGCACCCCTGCTGCCACACACACACACACACACACACACACACATACACACACACACACACACACAAAGAGCTTGGCCACTAAACTGATTCCAGTACACGTTTGCCTTGTTACCTGTCTCCTGCCCAATCTCTTTGCAGTAGCAGTGACTGTATTCTTGTATGCCTCAAAGGTGAGGTAGGTTCCTGCCCAGCTGATGAGCCCAATCCTTAGTTCCTCAGCCTTGGGTTGCCTGTGTATCCATTCCACCTCATCCATGGGGCCGGCGCCACAGGTGATGACTCTGTCCGGCCCAGCCTTCCCCCCAGTGGTGAGGTTCTACAGGCCATAGGGCCTGGAATAAGGTCTGTAGTACCCACCACAAGACGTTCCCAGAGGGAATTTCCAGGCAGAGGGTGGCTGGGGGCCCAGTGCCTCTGTGACCCGGGAGCATTGTGACTGTGAGGGCTGCGTCTTATCCTACCACAGCAGGGACAGGGCCCTGGCCCAGCAATGTCAATCCATGACGCAGAGGAATCGGGTTCAGAGGCTCCGGCACCCACCCTCCTACGCCACTGCGGGCACCAAGGTAGGCTGAGCTGAGACTGGAATCAGAACTTCAATTTGCAACTTTAGGCAAATCCCTCCCTTTCTTTACCTCTGTTTCTCATTTTGATAACCGTATAGAAGTCAACTTCTTTCCTCCCTAGGAAGTGGGTTCTGCCTGGCTCTTTTCTGGCTCAAGTATTTTTTTAAGTGCAATATCCAAGGAAAATCTATCAGCTTTTATGGCCCTTGGGAGGATGAGGCCAAAATGTCCAAAAGTTACTTTGCAGGGAATGTGAGGAAACCCTAGAGCAGGGGTCCTCACACTTTTTAAATAGGGGGCCAGTTCACTGTCCCTCAGACCGTTGGAGGGCCAGACTATAGTTTTAAAAAAACTATGAACAAATTCCTATGCACACTGTACATATCTTATTTTGAAGTAAAAAAACAAACGGGCAAAAACACCCCCATGTGGCCCACGGGCGGTAGTTTGAGGACGCCTGCCCTAGAGAGATAACCAGTGAAGACCAAATTACCCATATTAATTGGGAAGGCTGGCTCAGAGCCAGGGTAAGGAGGGTGGCTGAGGTGGAAAGAGCATGGAGCGCCCCACCTCATCAACCCCCAGCTGCACTTCTGGTGGGTAGGACAGCTGGCTCCTGTAAGAATACCAGCCTTTCCCCTCCAAAAAGTCTCTGTTGTCTGATAGTCTCTGGGACTCTCTTCCTGCAAAGCTCAAGGAGAGAAAACCTAGCCCAGAACCTGAAGAAACTGACAACATAAAAAAACAGAGAAAGGCAAAAGTAAATAATGGGTTTTGTTTAAGTTTTGCTGGGATCCAAAGGCAAATGGGTAGAGTCAACCACACTTGGTAAATAGGCCCTGGTCCCTTACGCATGCTTTCCTATTCCCTATAGATGGGGTCTTCCTGGGTAGAAAGAACTCCAGTGCTGCACAGTGAGGAAATAATGCCCAGGCTCCACCAATGTTTTGTAAAATAAGGCTAACAGACTACTAGTGCCAACATCATCTGGGTAATTTTAAGTATGCATATTGTTGGGCTTCACACTAGTCCTGATGAATCACATTTTCTGAAGCATACCTCAGGACCATTTTAAACACACATTCCCTCCCCCTCAAAATTTAATGTGCAAAGCAATCATTAAGAACTACTGCTCTAAGTAGCTAGGAGAATGACGAGGAGTGGAGCTATATCTTTTATGCAGCCATGAAGGTAGATACTGTTGCCTTCAGCAAAGGTTCTTTGGAACTGGGGAAGGAATGAGATTTCTATCACTGGAAACCCTATAGAATTTCCAGCCCAAGAATGAGGAGGGAGAAGCTGAGCTGGGTGAAGGTGTGTTTATGTGTGGTGGGGGTTGGAGGTAGGTGGTCCTGCAGCTTTAGCTTCTTTGAGCCTCTCCCACATTGTCTCTTTGCACCCAACAAACCCAGACTCCCATTTCTAGGCTACAGACAACACCATATACAAACCACAGCAAATTTATTACTCAATATCCAGTGCCACGTCATAGCACCACCCGAGCGCTCACCTTCCCCCACCAACCTGGCCCCAGGGTACACCCAAAACTGAAAAAACAAAAGTAAATCCAGATCCCTGCTCCTCCTCTGGAAGAGGGGGCCTTGGCCAGGAAGCCCCTTCCACAGGTCCCAGCAGGCAAGGAGAGTGGACCCCTCTGTGGCCAGAGAGAGAGGCTCCAGGCTCCAACAACAGAAAGAACATGCAGGCAGGAGCAGAGGCCTGTGTCTGTGGGGGTGGAAGAGTGGGAGGGAAGGGCACTGCCTGAGGAGTCCGGGAGTCTGGTCTTCCCGGGGATGCACGCGGGAGCTTCTGGGCAGCAGGGGCCTGCCCCTGGCTGGTTAGCGTTTCGACAGCTCATGGGACAGCCAGTCCAGCCCATCATACAGGCCTGTACCTTGAGTGGCACAGGTGGCCTGGACGTACCACTGTGGGAGGAAGGAAAGAAAGAGGTCAGCAGCAGAGAAGAAAAGGGGATGCCTTTATATCCTTGCCCCAGCCGGTGGCTCCCTGGAGAGGCAGGACCCAGTGTGAAGGGGCAGGACCCTTACCGTGCGGCTGCGCAAGTGCTGTAGCCCCAGCTTGTCTGTCAGCTCGCTCACGGGCATGGCGTTAGGCATGTCTTGCTTGTTAGCAAACACCAGTAGCACCGCATCCCGAAGCTCATCCTCTTGCAACTGAAAGGGGAGAAGAGAGGGTGGGACCTGTGGTCTCAGCTTCCAGCAAGGTCCCTACGCTCCTTTTTCCCTGCTAATTTGGGGAGCCCCCTTCCTACCTTCTAGCTTCTCTGTGGGAAAAATACAGTATCATGTAGTTTATTGCTAAACACAGACATAGAGTTATCAATGAGCTTGAGGTCACCTAAACCTTAAGTCCAGAAAACGCCTTTTTCTAATTTGAATACTTGTCTTAGGTAAAATGACAAAATTTCCAAATGGAAAAAGCAAGAATATAAGATGACATTTTTCTCTATCACATATAATTCTCCTCTCCCCAACAACTTCTCAGACTCAAATGTAAAGGCATGAGAATTAAGGGAAAAAGTCAGTCCTATCCTTACCAGGTGAGATACACAACGTGTTTGCACCCACAAACACAAACTCACATTCCTGGCCTTTGATGCCTCTAGGTGGTTCCCTGACTCCATACCACCGCCAAGATCTCTCTGTCCCCAAGCCAACGGCTCAGGTTCCAGGACTCTGGGTACTCACCATCTTCTGGAGTTCATCAGCAGATTCCTGGACCCGCTCCCGGTCATTACTGTCCACCACGAAGATGAGGCCCTGGGCAGGGAGGAAGGAAGGAGAGACAATCACTCCCACATGGGACAAACCCTAATCTGGCCCTTTCTCTCTTCTTCCCATGTTTAATTGTGCTGACCCTTCTCATCTGGTAAACTTCTAATAAGGCTTTGCAGAAATCCTAGCACAAACTAGAGATGCCACTGCAAAGGATACAGCCTCCACCCTCAAGGAGAAAGCAGTTTATCTAAAGATGTGCAAGGGAAAAGAGAGATATGTGATGAGGGCTAAATCAGGCAGCATGGCCTTAGAACCCTGTTTCTCAGGAGAAGTTCCAGGTGGCTAAGCCTACAAAGACTAAGGCGAATTCTGAAGATGAGTAAAGGCAGGCCAACCAAAGGAAGCATAAGCAGGGAAGAGTTTTTTCCTGGCTTGGGGGCCCAGCCTCTGCCAGTATCTCAGTCCTCCCAGCCCTAACACCTCTTTCCCTGGCGTTGGGGAGTCCACCCCACACCCCACCTGAGTGTTCTGGAAGTAGTGCCGCCACAGAGGCCGAATCTTGTCCTGGCCTCCCACGTCCCAGACTGTGAAACAGATGTTCTTATATTCCACTGTTTCTACATTGAAGCCTGCAGATAATTGGAAAATAAAAATATGAGAAAAAGTCCCGAAAGGAAGGAGCTCACTAAAACTACTAGGATCTAAGCAGGGACACAAAACCAGAAAGCAATGATCAAGGCCCAGGAGAACAGAGCCCCAAGAGGACCAGCAGCCAACAGACAGGGCGGGGCTAGGTCACATCCACCCGGCAGGCACGTAGAGATACCTTGACCCACTTCTCAAATTGCCTTATCTGATGTCAGGGTCAGCGCCAGGAAAAGGGCAGAACCCGCAGAGGATCCCGAGAAGGCCCGCCGCGGCGCTCCCTTCCTCCCTGACTCGCCCCTGGGCTCACCTATGGTTGGGATGGTGGTGACAATCTCCCCCAACTTGAGTTTGTACAGGATTGTGGTCTTGCCAGCCGCATCCAAACCAACTGCAACAGAGAGGGGCACAAGAATGGAGACGGGAGCGAGGGAGCCCCCTAGAGACCAAGGAAAGGGAGAGGCCAGGACAGCTGATGGTGACCGGGGTTGAGAGCGGGAGCGCCTCCAGGTGCGCGCTCCTATCTACCTTCGGGGCCTTGAGGGCGTCTGGGTGGCGTGAGCCAACTCCTGCCCCCAAAGTGGGCGAGGGACGGGAGAGGACTGGGAGGTAAGGGGCGAGGGAGGAAGGCCGCGCTCCTTTTAAAAGTCGTCTCCAAGGGCGGAATCCTCCCTTCTTACCAGCCGGGTTGGGGCGGAGGGAGCTTCACCCCACCCAGGCCCACAGCTCCGGGTCTCAGGCCCCGGCGCAGCGCTGCGGACTGGGACCCGCCCGAGAGCAGAGGCAGCGGGGGGTTAGGAAGTGGGTGAGTCGGGGTCAGAGACCCAGGTGAGCGGGGCTGGAGGGACGCGGGGGCGGGAGGGCTGCGCCGGGGCCGGCGCCCCGGTCCGGGCCGCGCTTGATATGCCTCACCCATGAGAATCCGCATCTGCTTCTTCCCGAAGATCCGCGAAAAGAGCGCGGACACGGTGAGGCCCATGGCGGGGCCCGGGGGAGGGGGCGCGGGCACGGACGCGGGGTGCGGGCTGGAACCGGGCGGCCGCGGGGGGATGGGGCGCAGCAGCAGAAGGCGGAGGCTCCGCCGCCGCCTCCGCGCGTCCCGGCCCGCCCGACGTCACCGCGGGCCCGCCCCCGCCGGCCCCGCCCCCAGCTCGGGCCCGGAGTCGCTGGAGCCGGGCGAGGCTCCGCAGCCAGGCGGGTCCCGCGCGGCCTCCGGGAGCGAACGCGTCTGGGTCAGGCCTGGGGCCGCGGCACCGGCAGCCCGAGCGGGGCTGAGGAAAGGCTTCGTCGCTGCACAGCGGCCCCCGCCCCCAGCGGCCGGCCTCGGGCTCTAGTTCGTTGCGTCCAGCCCACTGCGGGCTACGGCTTAGCCCTTGGGAACTAGCAGCACCGAGTCTGTGCGCCACCCTCCTCACGGGAGTGGAAGCTGCGTGCAGGGGTCTTAGTCCTTTTGCCCTTTCGGCTTCCACCGAGGGCTTTTCGCGAATAGGTGGTCGCGTGAGTGAGTGTGCCGGAGGTAGGGGCAGAGGATGCCCGAGAAGTCTCTGCTAGCTTTCATGGATCCTTAAAACGTCTACCTCATAGAGCCCCATCAGCAGAACCAGTGGAAGATCCCCAGCCTTGGGCGAGTGTCACAGACCCATTCCCGGACTACTGGAGAACTCCGCCTTCCCTCGATCGCCCTGTGGACGCCGTCTTTCAGTGCAGGCGCAGGCTGCCTTTCTGAGCTCCATTTTCACTTTGCTACAGGCTTGCGGACCCGGATTATTAATGCGCACCTATTCAATTTTTGAGGATTTTTTGAGTCTCGCCTCTCTAGAGCCAAAGAGCTTCACATGTAATTTCCCCCTTCACTTTAGCATCTAGAAGAATAGTAAAATAGGAATTAAATTTCTCCTATAGTGGGGACGAGCTCAATGCCAGGCATCTAACGAATATGCTTAACAGGTGCCTGTGGCGTTGAACTGGATTGACAGGTTGCTCAGTGGAGCAAGGGCAGGCGTTTTCCATTCCGGATTCCAACTGGGTTCCAGGATCCATGGCTTTTGGGTTAGAGGTGAAGCTGAGCTGAAAATCAGAAAACTTTCACTCATTCATTCACTTTTTCAACAAATATTTATTGACCATGAATAAATGTGAAAGGACTATTTCTGGCCTTAGTTCAAATCTCAATTCTGCCATTTCTTGAGGATTTGGCTTCAACGGTACTCACAACCCTTCCATTATTTTCTCAGGTATAGAAGAAGACAAATTTATTCTAACTCAAGGGGTTATGGTGAATATTAAGCTGATGAAATAATGTAACTGCATGTTATGTATAGTGCAGCTGAATGTTATTTGGGCCACTAAGAAACTGAGTCCGAACACACCTCTTGGGCTTGCCCCATCCTACTTGCAAAGTCTGTAAGGAGAACAGACTTTGGGAAGTGGGTGTGAGTGAGGGCATGAATTTCTTTTGCTCTTCAGTCATAGACTTGCATTCCTAAGAAGGCTTTTACAAGGTTGAAGAGTACATCTTAAAGGGTCCCAATATAATAACAGAACCAGTGACTACCAAGTCAGGTCAATTCTATATTTGGCTTTCTTATCAAGCCTCTTTCTCTCCATGTCTGTTGTCATTACTTTATTTCACTGCTTTCTCTTCCATATGACTGAAAGAACCTCCTTACAGGTCTTCTGTCCCTTGGTATCTGCATCCTGTCATAAAAGTCTTGATGGTGCCTCACTCTTCAGATAAAAATCCTTTCAGGCCTTAGTATCACCCAAGATCAAACCTAAATGCCATAAGTTGGATCCCCACCTCTTGTGCCATCCCCATCTGTTGTCACGTCCTTCACATACCCTGAGCTGCTGCTGATTCTTAATGATTCCTGGGTGAGTCCCTTCTCTTAATTGTCATACCACTTTGAATATACCCATACATACTGGTGTGTGTGACAGCAGGACTTGTTTGAATGTCTGGTTCCTCACTTTGTGAACTCCTTGAAGGCAATGCCATGTCTCTTCATGGTGTTATGACTTGGCACAGCACTTGGTATTTTCAGAATCGGACTAATTTGGATAGAATTCCTAAACTTACTAGCTGTGTGACCTTGGGTATGTTTACTTAGCTTCTCTGTGCCTCGTGCTCCCATATCTGTAAAATAGTGCTGAGGATACCCCCTGAGCAGAATTATTGTAAAGACTAAACAGCAAAATTCTTGTGAGGCTCCTGGCATATATATATCTCATGGCTATAGCGTGCTCTCTATGAATGTTTATTGAATCAACTCAGCGGAACTAAGGATGGGTGCTATTTTCCCATATGCCTACCAGGTGCCAAGACTCTGCTAGAAAGGGCTGCAGTTTTTGTAGTCTAAATGGGAGTCTTAATTATTGCCCTTTAGGGGCATAGGTCCTGAGCCCCAAATAATTGGATGCCTCCTTCACCTGGGTGTTTGGTGAGAACGCAATGCGACGTCGCCCTCTGCCGCTCGCTGATCGTAGCCCGAGGTCAAACCCAGGCGCTCTCGCCAAACCAATATCACTGCCGCATCCTCGATTTAGCTCGCTCAGCTCTTCCCAAGGTGGGTCCCCTTCTGTTCGCCGCGGGGTGGGTACTCTGCAGGCCGCCTCCCACCCACAGGCCGAAGTGGCCCCACACACCTCGCGCCCGCTGACGTAGCGCTGACGTCACTTCCAGCGAACCCGGAAGCGCCGTTGTCGCTGGGTGGCTGTAGTTAGGAAGTCGTGATGGAGCCGCGCTCGGCGTAAACCCTCGGCGGGCCGCGGGGTCTGGCCCGGGCTGCTGTGGCCCGGACGAGCGGAGAGTGCGGAGCGGCTTCAGGGCCAGCGACGGCGAGCCCTGGCGGCGTTGCCCGCCTCCCGGGTACGCCCCGGTCCCGCCTTCCGGGCCCGGGACCCAGCGGGCGCCTTCGCCAGGCTGCCCCACCGGCCTGCTTTTGGTCGCCGACAGCTGGGTAGAGCGGGTGTGCGGCCCGTGGCCGGACGGCCCCCTCCCTGTCTCTTTAAGCCCCAGCCCCCGTCTTTGCGACCCTTTCTCGGGCTACCGGAACGCTGACGTGGAGCAATCCGCTCAGAACTCCCATGGAGAAGTTTGGGATGAATTTCGGGGGCGGCCCGAGCAAGAAGGACTTGCTGGAGACGATAGAGACGCAGAAGAAGCAGCTCTTCCAGTACCAGGCACGGCTCAAGGATGTGGTCCGCGCCTATAAAAGCCTGCTGAAGGAGAAAGAGGCGTTAGAGGCCAGCATAAAGGTGCTGTCGGTGTCCCACGAGGCAGATGTGGGCCTCGCAGGTGTCCAGTCGCCAGGCCTCCCCTTTCCTGACTCAGTGGATGACCGGTGCTCCACTCACAGCGAGGATAGCACTGGCACCGCCACCAGCTTGGATACTGCGGCCAGCCTCACCAGCACCAAGGGTGAGTTTGGGCTGGAAGATGACAGAGCTGCCCGTGGTGGACCACCACCTCCAAAGTCTGAAGAGGCCAGTGGGTCGGAGAGTGGCGTTAGCAGTAGCAGTGGGGATGGGCCACTTGCAGGTGGGGAGGTAGACAAAAGACTGCACCAGCTGAAGACTCAGTTGGCTACTTTGACCAGCTCTTTGGCTACAGTCACCCAGGAGAAGTCCCGCATGGAGGCTTCTTACCTGGCTGACAAGAAGAAAATGAAACAAGACTTAGAGGATGCCAATAAAAAGGCAGAGGAGGAGAAGAGCCGTCTGGAGGGAGAATTGAAGGGGCTGCAGGAGCAGATAGCAGAAACCAAAGCCCGACTTATCACACAGCAGCATGATCGGGCCCAGGAGCAGAGTGACCATGCCTTAATGCTTCGTGAGCTCCAGAAATTGCTACAGGAGGAGAGGACCCAGCGCCAGGACTTGGAGCTTCGGTTAGAAGAGACTCGAGAAGCCCTGGCAGGGCGAGCATATGCAGCTGAACAGATGGAAGGGTTTGAATTGCAGACCAGGCAGCTGACCCGTGAGGTAGAGGAGCTGAAAGGTGAGCTGCAGGCAATTCGAGATGAGAAGAATCAGCCAGACCCCCGGCTCCAAGACCTTCAGGAAGAAGCCTCCCGCCTTAAGAGCCATTTCCAGACTCAGTTGCAGCAGGAAATGAGGAAGGTAATTATTCTCATCTCCTTTAAGTATTAGTCATTTGACTTAAAGTGGAAAATATTAGTTTTTATTTTTCTCTTTTGATAGTTAGAACTAAGTGGCTGCACTGTCATTTTTGATATTACCTGAAAAGTTCCCCTACTGAGTCCTGGGAAATCCTGTTCTAGATAGTGTCAATGACACTGTTTGGAGGGCGTGCCTCTAGCAGGATGTGGAGTTTCTGAGTGTGGGTTGGGTTGGAGCCAGGCAGCTCTGAGCTCTTGGGCATTGGCATCTTACCAGCTGTGCTCTATGAAGCAATATAGTGGCAGCTGTACAGCGAAAGGTGGTGTGTATGCCTATAGGTATGTACCCATAAGTAAGTTGGCTGAAGGCAAAGGAGATTTTGTCAGAAGAAACAACCTCTTGTAATCGTTTTCAGTCAAGATTTGCCTGTTTTAGAAAAGTGCTATTTTAAGGTGCCTCCTTTCGATGTGGAGAGAGAGCTCCAACTCCGTTTTGAACTTCCAGGAATATTGGACTAGGAAAAGAATGTCCTATAATTTTTTATTTGGATTTGGGGAAGCACATGATAACCAAGAGCTATGCACTTCATGTGTGAGTTAGGGGGAAAGTGGAAGCTCTAAAGCAAACAACAGCAGATAGACAAAGGTGCTTAACATTGTTTGCTATAATATGTCTTAGAGCAGAACCCAAGCAGGTTATAGGAACTTTTGTTAGTTCCTGAATCAATAGAAAAATCTCCAGTTCCCATTCTTGCTAGGCCATCCCAATCCTGTGACCCTTTTGCTCCCCTCGTCTGCCTTACCAAAGTTTTCTATGGGCATTGTGGCTTTTCTGGGTGCATTTTTGTCTGTTCCCATGTTTTGCAGACGGCCCTTGCAGAGGATCAACTCCGTCAGCAATCTCAGGTGGAAGAGCAGAGGGTAGCAGCCCTAGAGAATCAAATATCTGAAGTGTCTGAGCTGCTGGGTACCTACGAGAAAGCCAAGCAGAAGGACCAGCTGGCCATCCAGAAGCTGAAGGAGCGGATTCTGCAGCTGGACCTGGAGAATAAGACACTGGCTCTAGCAGCCTCCAGCCGATCCTCTCTAGACAGCCATGGAGACGAATCCAGTCTTGATGTCAATGTTCTGAAGGATAAGATGGAGAAGCTGAAGAGGCTGTTGCAGGTTGCAGCCAGGAAAAGCCAGGTGACCTTGGATGTGGAGAAGCTCTGTGACCTGGAGATAATGCCCAGCTCGGAGGCTGCCGATGGGGAGAAGGCTACTGCACTGTACTACCAACAGGAGCTGAAACAGCTGAAGGAAGAGTTTGAGAGGTACAAGATGAGGGCTCAGGTTGTCCTCAAGAGCAAGAATTCCAAAGATGGTAACCTGGCAAAGGAGCTGGAGGCAGCCCAGGAACAGCTTGCAGAGTTGAAGGAGAAATATATCTCCTTGCGGCTGTCCTGTGAGGAGCTCGAACACCAGCACCAGCAGGAGGCTGAAGACTGGAAGCAGGAGCTGGCCCGCCTGCAGCAGCTCCACCGGCAGGAGCTAGAGCGAAGTCAGCTGGACTTCAGGGACCGCACACTGAAACTCGAGGAGGAGCTGCACAAGCAGCGGGACCGTGCCCTGGCTGTGCTTGCTGAGAAGGACTTGGAGCTGGAGCAACTGCGTTCTGTGGCCTTGTCCTCTGGGCTGCCAGGACGCAGAAGCCCTGTGGGTGGTGGGGTTCCTGGGGACCCAGCTGACACATCTTCCCCAGATAGCCTGACTCAAGCGCTACAACTTGCTGCAGCCAACGAGCCCACTTTCTTCCTGTACGCTGAGCAGCTGGCCCGCAAGGAGGTAGAGATCACATCACTGAAGAAGCAGAAGCACAGGCTGGAAGTGGAGGTGCATCAGCTGCAGGACCGGCTGCTGGAGGAGGGTGAGCAGCATCGAGAGGAGGTTGGAGCCCTGCAGAGCCGCATCGAAAAGAACATCAGGGACCAGAGCAGGGAGGGAGCCAACCTAGAGTACCTCAAAAACATCATCTACCGCTTCCTGACCTTACCTGACTCCCTGGGCCGCCAGCAGACTCTCACAGCCATACTGACTATCTTACACTTTAGTCCAGAGGAGAAACAAGTGATAATGCGGCTCCCAGCCAGTGGTAGCTGGTGGCCTTCTGGCAAGAGATGATGCCATTTTCACTAACTCCTGAAATTTCTGTGCCTCTTTTATGTGGGAAGGGGCAGGCTCTGGTTTCTACTGCTTATTCTCTTGGATTATCATTTATTACTTTACTGTGTTGAAATTGGGAGGAGTTTTCAGTGTGGGATGGGATGTTCTGCCAAATGTCATTAATGCTGCTTTGTGTTTGGGCCCTATTGATACTGAAAGTGTTAGGACAGCATCTTCTAGAGTGTATGTGAGGGGAAGTGGGAGAAGAGGTTAGGACTGAGAGGTGCAAAAGTTGGGAAAGTAGTACAAATCCTTTACAATTTTTTGTTTTAATATTATGTTCCTAGCACAGAGCTAGGAGTAAATGTGACTCCAAAGGGAGTTCAGGTAATTTCTGAACATGCACAATGACCAGCTGTTTTCTCCATCTCATCACAATCTGAGTCTGGTCCATGCTGCCCCAATTCTCTGGGGACATAAAGCCAGGCTAAAAAGGGACCAGGAAGTTTGAAATAGTGACAGATTGTCTACTAGTCCAAAGGGCCAAGGAATAGAGTTCATTCTGGAACTGGAAAGCTTGGTCTAGTTAGGGACTAGGGACAACCTATGTTATCTAGACTAAACATACCACTTGTGACCATCCTAGTGAGGTCCCTGAGCATCAGTTTGATCTTAGGGATCTTGGGTGACCTGCTTCTGGTCTGGATAGGGTTAAAATAGATCTCTTGCTTATCCCTGCCTTAACCTGTCTACCTAAGGTTGGCCTGAGATTGTGAGTGAATGACTTTGCTATCTTTTCCACAAAGTTGGAACTCCATGAAGAAATAAGATCTTAGCTTCTTACAGAGAAGAGTCTGAACAGTAACCTCTGATCCTGCCTCGTTAAAAGGAGTTAGCTCAGAGATTTGCTCCCAGCTATTTCTGCCTTTGCAGGGACAGGAAAGAGGAGGAAGATTTGCTGCAGAAGATTCCAAAAGATTCCTGTTACTCTAGCTGGAAAGTAGTGGAAGTTCAGCTGAAGCTGGGCTGGGGTACTTTTTGCCCTCTGGGTCTTTACATAAGTAGATCTACTCTGCTCTTTAAAGAAAGGCAGCTTGTTATTCAGGCAGTCTGGAAAGGAGGTTCTCAAGAAACTTGGGTTCAAATATTATCAGTTCCTCTGTTCTTTCTCCTATCTGTTCTTACTGTTTATAGAGGTTTCTGGACCCTAAAGACAAATGCTTGGCCACTAACTGGATTAATATGTATCTTTCTGTTATTTCATCTTAGAGGTCTGTTTTATGAGGCTTTGGAATCCAGACAACTTTAAGTGTTCTGAACGAGAGGCTAGGTGACTGACCTGGATTATCTACAGTGAGCAGACTTAAATGGAACAAAGATGTGTTCAGATGATAATGATATAAACCATGGAATCATTAAACCTAAGTGACTTGACTTGTGTGTTTCCTTAATGCTATCTATATCTACACAAAAATAGAGTGAATGTAAATGGTGAGTGAAAAGGATGGACATATTTCCATATATTAATTCATGAGCTTAAATCTGTCAGTTTTAACCGCTTCAGTTACAAGTTTCTTAGCCTGGAATGGTATATGTATGTGTTTGTGTGTGAGCAGCTACACTGGAAAAGGCTTTTTCATGGGTTTAGTGGGTGGGCTTAAAACTTCTATAATTACTGCTTCAAACTCCACAAGTAATATTTATGAAAGCTTTATTATCCTTAAAATCAGGATTCATGGTCTCTTGGAAAAGCATCTCAGGACATCAAGCTAAACTAACTAATAATAATAGACTTAGTGTTTTTGCCTTGTTCCCTCTAAATGTATTAATAGAATACCTTGTGACTGTTACTCCTAGGTGGCTGTGGACAGAATCAAAATATCCATAGTCCCAGTAACCTTCCTAGAAGTAATAATTGCTGTGCTTTTGACTTTTGAGAAGATACCAAACAGGCAAAGAATCAAGTCAATTTCTGACTAATAGTTTTAAGTATCTGGATATATTAAAGCTGTGAGTGCTCCCAACCAAACTAAAAGACTTGATCCCCTCCTACCCCTAAGGACACTTAGAGCCTAGAAACAGGCAATGTTAATGCAGACATGCTAAACTCAACATTCATTGTCTCCACACCCTCTTCCCCAAAATAAGTTTTTCAGTTATTTGACTGGTTTGCCTTTGATAGATACTTTAAGAAAGGAAAGGGAGAGCAACAATGAAAGAATTGAGATCAGAAGCAGTCAGAGAAAAATAAATTTTCCTTGGGCCCTGGTCCCAGGATATTAGTGTAAGAGGTGTGTTAGTGAGGTAATGAGACTGAGCCTTATTTATTTAACTATTACCACACAGTTCAGAGAGGATCACTGTGAAGGAGATGGAGGGAGAAAGTGGAGGTAAGGCAATCTGACCACTCAGCTGTAAGGGCTTTCTGCTCTCTTTTCTTCCCTTTTGGGTACCTCCCATCTAGGGAATAAACATGTCCATATATCATGCTGTAGATGTTAAGATCCTGTCTATTATCCAGAACTCTGAGGCTCTCAGTGTTGTCTCGTGAAGCTGCTATAAGGGTTCTTTTTGCTAATTCTTGTCAAGTGTACCAGCATCATGTTGAGCCATTTACACTGTTATGTTATTAACTCCCCTAGGTGCTCTTATGCCGCATTTTACAGATGTTAAATTTGCCAAGGATCATGTTTGAACTAGGTCTCGTTAGCCCTAAAGCCCACTTAATCTGGGTGTGCTCCTGCCTCCTTAGCACTTGGGAGGGCCAGGGCATGTCTCCATAGACTTCTAGGGAGAGAGAGGCTGATCTCTAGGTGAACTGGGCTGGTTCAAGTGGAGAGAACGACTCCAGCTATAAATTTCAGCCAAGCAAAGTTGCTACACTGTAGATTTGAACAGGCCACAGTGCTTCATAACAGCCCTAAAGCTGCTCTGTCCCCAGTTTCTAGTTTATTGCTAACTTTTGGACTCAAATAATTCTAACGAAATGAAAGGAGGACTGAGTACTAGCTATTGCTACAGTGTGTTCCAACTGTTACCTCTGGTAAAGCTGGGAAACAGCTTTAGGAATTGGAAAGCATTCTCATGGATAGGTCATTTTACTTCTGTCCCCCCACCCTGGTTTCCCACCTCAGGCAGCTTGGTCACCTTAAATAGATGGTTTTTGGAGCAAGGAACTAGTTGAAATTCAAGTCCAACCTCCTGTAAGCTATGTGACCTTAGTAAATTTCTTAATCTCTCTGAGCTTAATTTTCCTTTTTTTAAAAAACTTTTTTTGTTTTTTGGAGACAGGGTCTTACTTTGTCACCCAGGCTGGAGTGCAGTGGCATGATCATAGCTCCTTGCAGCCTCTAGCTCCCATGCTCAAGTGCTCCACCTCCACCTCCTGATTAGCTGAGACTAGAGGCGTGTACCATCACGCCTGGCTGATTTTTAACTGTTTTGTAAAGATGGCATCTCACTATGTTGCCTAGGCTAGTCTTGAATTCCTGGGCTCAAGTGATCCTCCTGCTTTGGCCTTCCAAAGTGCTGGAATCATAGGTGTGAGCCACCATGCCTGTCTGTGAACTTAATTTTCTTATAATGGGGATACTATTAATAATACCTGTTTCAGGGGTATATCTTAGGTCCTCAGATTAAAGAAAAACTAAGTACATATAGAGCCAGTATAGTATCTGAAACAAAGTAGGGGCTAAAACACATTCACTCCTTTTTTTTTTCTTTGAGACTGAGTCTTGCTCTGTTGCTTGGGCTAGAGTTTAGTAGTGGTGTCATCATAGCTCACTGCAACCTGAAACTCCTGGGCTCAAGCAATCCTCTTGGCTTAACCTCCTGAGAAGGGAAAGCCTCCTAGGCTGGGAAAACAAGTGCATGCTAGCATGCCTGGTTAATTTTTCCATATTTTTGTAGAGATCAGGAAGGGGCTGTTTCACAATGTTGCTCAGGCTGGTCTTGAACTTCTGGCCTCAAGCAATCCTCCTGTCTGGGCCTCCCAAAGTGCTAGGATTACATGATCCACTGTGCCCAGTCCCCCCCTCCCCCAGAATGTTAAGTGGCAGAATGGAAAACCAGACTGAGGTCTTCTGGATTTAAATCCAGTGTTTCTTAATCACAAATTTTGCTGTAAACAAAAGGAAAAAGAAACACAGTCTTTTATCAAGTACCTATCATGAGGGAGACAGCATTTTTCCAACATTATTTTACTTGACTCCCACAACAGGTTGTAAAGTCTTATCTGTTTTGCAGTTGAGGAAATAGAGGCTTGGTGAGATGATATGGATTGGCTAAGGCCCAGAGCCAGTCACAGCAGAATCAGAAATCAAACAGGTTTGTTTATGTGGACCAAATGACCCAGGCCCTTTCTGCTGTCTGTGCTGTCTCCCAGCAGAGGGCAACATGGAATACTGAAAAGACACTGCTCGCTGAGAAACGTAGGGGGCTGTTTCTGACACAGGCTGGGGAAGAAGGGGTCCTTGTCCAGGTAGTGCTCTCTTTGGACGCAACTGACTGTCTCATAATTGCTCAGAAGCCTTACTACTCTCCTAGCAGCAGAGCTATTTCACACCGAAAATTATGAAATGGACTCTCTTGTAAGTCAGTTTATGTGAGTTGAGTAGGCACAGCTGTTTTTCCTGGAACCCAGATCAGGATAACCTAAGTATCAAAGGAGCTGGGGGAGTGGTGTCGGTCCTGTGCACCGACGTGGGGGGTGTCAGGCCATGCGCAGAGGTCTCACGTGGGGGGGTGTGGGGCTGTGCGCAGAGGGCTCACGTGGGGGGGGTGTGGGGCCGTGCGCAGAGGGCTCACGTGGGGGGTGTGGGGCCCTGCGCAGAGGGCTCACGTGGTGTTGGGCTGTGTGCAGAGGCCTCACGTGGGGGGTGTCGGGCCGTGGCAGAGGCCACTTGGGGGGTTCAGGGCCGATGCAGAGGCCTCACGTGGGGGGTGTGGGTCCGTGCGCAGAGGGCTCAACGTGGGGTGTGGCCGAGTGCAGAGGCTCCACGTGGGTTGGTGCGTGTGCAGAGGGGTCATGTGGGGGGTGTCGGGCCGAGTGCAGAGGGCTCACGTGGGGGTTTCGGGCCGTGTGCTGAGGGCTCACGTGGGGGGGGTCAGGCCGAGTGCAGAGGGCTCACGTGGTGGTGTTGGGCCATGTGCAGAGGCCTCACGTGGGGGGTGTCGGGCCCTGTGCAGAGGGCTCACGTGGGGGTGTTGGGCCGTGTGCAGAGGGCTCACGTGGTGGTGTTGGGCCGTGTGCAGTGGCCTCACGTGGGGGGTGTGGGGCCGTGCGCAGAGGGCTCACGTGGGGGGTGTGGGGCCGTGCACAGAGGGCTCACGTGGGAGGTTGTGGGGCCGTGCGCAGAGGGCTCACGTGGGGGGTGTCGGGCCGTGCGCAGAGGGCTCACGTGGGGGGTGTTGGGCTGTGCGCAGAGGGCTCACGTGGTGGTGTTGGGCCGTGTGCAGTGGCCTCACGTGGGGGGTGTGGGGCCGTCCGTGCGCAGAGGGCTCACGTGGGGGGTGTGGGGCCGTGCGCAGAGGGCTCACGTGGTGGTGTTGGGCCGTGTGCAGAGGCCTCACTTGGGGGGTGTCGGGCCATTCTCAGAGGCCTCGTGTGGGGGGTGTCTAGCCATGTGCAGAGGGCTCACTTGGGGGGTGTCAGGCCGTGTGCAGAGGCCTCACGTGGGGGGTGTTGGGCCGTGTGCAGAGGGCTCACTTGGGGGGTGTCAGGCCGTGTGCAGAGGCCTCACATGTGGGGTGTTGGGCCGTGTGCAGAGGGCTCACGTTGGGGTGTCACCGGCTTGCAGAGAATGAGAAGCAGAGAAAGACAGTGAACATTTAGTACGGTGTATAGTGAATATGGTATTAGAAAGGCACATGCACAGTACGTTATATTTGATAGTTTGGAAAATAAAACAAAAACAACTAGAGGAGCTGACAAACTCACTGTGCAGGGAGCCCAGAAAAGCAAAGGACACTTGGAGGTCAATAACCCTTTTAAGACGGAAAACCCTGTCCCTTGACTTTAGCAAGGAGACCATCTCTGGTTCGTTGTAAATTCGTCTGTCGCCACGGTCTACTGCCGAGGGACCAAAAGGTATCTCTTTCATATCTGAGAGGAGGAACCTGAATATTGATACCACCTTACACAAATGTGTTTCAAAATGTAGATTTACAGATAAATTTTACATTAATTGAGGCTGTGCTGTTCAGAGAAAATAGTTGGAAGCTGCTATTTAAGGTAGGGTCTGTTGTCCTTCCCTTAGTTGAACAGCTACCAGGCCTTTGAAAATGAGGCCTCTTTCTAGTTATTTTCACAGGTCCTTTGGGGACATCCTGCCCCAACGTCCTGGTTACTCCGCTGGGGTAGGTGCCCAACAGGGAGCCTCAGCCTGCTGAGATGAGATTTGAGATGAGTGGGCTGGGAGGCCTAGGGAATCGGA